TCAAAGCCAATAAGTCCAGGTTGGAACAACGTATTTTCATCATTTTTGGTGTGTAGGTACCTGAGAGACAGTTGTACATGATTAAATGCAAATTATGCAAATGATGACTTAATTTGCATAATTAATGAGGACATTCTATAATTACAGTGTTTCATATAATGGTACTGCTATACATGTAATCTATTTAATCTGTGGCAGGCAGAACATCAACAGGTACCAATTATATTTCATGGAGGTATGAGATCTCGGAACTCTTGTTTACGTACGTTTTTGCCCGCATGGAACTAGGGTTCAAATTTATCTTCCAATCTCCAAACGATTCAGGGTCTCCTTACTTTATTTCTGGAACAAATGTAGTCCAGATCCAAACCGTACATACTGTGCAAAATATGTTCTAGTACACATTTGATAGCTGCGATATATTACAAGCATTTCATGCAGCATCACTTATCCCTTATCCTCCTAGACTGTTATGAGTTAGGCCACACTGATTTAATTGTATGGATAACAACTATGCACACATTGATTTTTGCCTGTTCTCAAAAATAATCATCTCGGTGTCTCCGTAGTCTATGGTAGTCTCTGCCGGTAGCTACGGAGGATGGTACCCAGGCTGCCGAAGCTCCACAGAACTCAGTACAGTGCCGACTCATAAATGCCGCAAAAGGCCAGCATTTGCCAGCTTGTCATAAAAGTCACTATATATTAACACAAATTCACAATTATAGCAGCTTTGTATTCCTGTGGTTTAGCAGCATTTTTCGGGCTTGAATTTTTTTTTATTTGCCCATGTGCACTAGTTTGGGGGTCTTCAGAGGATGTTATCCATAAAATTAAGTCAGGTGGCTTTAGGTAATTTTTCATGTAGGCTCACTTTACCTTGTCTCACCTATACTCTCCATGTATATCATCATATTTTTTCCCCTTTAAAAGTACCCGATTCATCAGCCTTTACTATCCCAGTGTTCTAACTTCATCTTTCAGCCTTCAAACTTATAATCAAGACTTTGCTTTAAGAGCTCATTCGTCCTCTTGCCAATGTGTTCCTTCTAGATAAGCACCGTTCCCTCCCTGTCTTTGTCTTGGGCAAAACTTGTACCAGCGTAAAATAGCACTATGTACAACATCTCATAAACCCAAGATCAAGTACCAGCTGTGTTATATGGAACAAAACTGTACACAGTAACGGGGATAGATACAGAGTTTTTATTGTCTCACAATGCTGACTTATTATTAAAAGACAGGTTTGGTAGATAAAGTGTACTAAGAGATATTACAAGCTTCTGCAACTGAGTATATCAATTTAGTTGAGAGTAAAGTTGGGCGAAGGGATTTTCCCTGATATTCCAAACCCTGAAGGGAACAGTTTGGCCAAAAGTGGTGCATTAGCTCCTCCTGAAATGTATTGTGTCACGTTTCGGATAAATCTTTACAGGGAAAAGTTTTGGTGCCGTCGTGTCTGGGTACAGAAGAGCATCACAGCAGGGGGGGGGGCGTAAAACGCTTCTGTTAAAAACCAGGGCTTGAAATACCCACATGCAAGTTGCAATATGCATGTGATTTTCAAGACGAAAATATTCCGAAAATGTAATTTTGCATGTTGAACATATATATGACAGTGTTCCCGTTTGACTGTGGAATAATGCGTGGTAGCTATGTTGATATCACAACATTGCTATATATACTCATCTTAAAATGTAGGGTGTTTTTTCCATATTTTCTCAAATCTATCAATTATTTTTCTCAAATCTATTAATATTTGGTTTGTAGGCACCTTATTTCTTCTGGGTGCACCCCCTACTATGTATAAGTTTCCCTCTATCATAATATATGATTCATACAATAATTAAGAACGTGGTGTTTTAGATTTTCTTATGTACATTGTATCTTGTTTTATATCGAGAAAAGACTGAAGGCTGAATGAACTTAAATTTTGCATGTAGATTTTTTGAATTGCATGTAAATTTTCTACCAACATTGAATTTTGCTTGTAACCAAAAAAAAAAAAATGTTTCAAGCCCTGAAAACCGTTCTCTCTTCTCAGCAGATACACCTTGCCAGAAGGCAGTATTTAAAGTTAATGGATGAGTGTTGAAAGGATATTGACTTGTGCTTCCCAGAGGCTAAATCAACTAAGTAAAAAACTAGACATTCCATCATCCTTGAAAGGTGATCATAGAACTTAATGTTCAATGTTGCCAGCGGAGAAAAGTAATGTAAACCTTTTAAAAGGTTCCATTTTTTAGTAAAATCTGTTATATAATAAATTTCGTATTTTGGTATGAGCTGGAAGGATTTTGATTCAGACTCTATTAGTCCAATAACTCTGTTAGTCATGCATTCAAGCTTAAGCATCAGAGTTATCAACCAAGGATCGATTGAGCTGTTTTAGAACTTGTATTTTTCTAGAACTATCGCAAAGTGGAACTTGCTGCCACAAAATACAGCAGGGGCATCATCGCTAGATACATGTAGCTTAGATGTGCATGTTCGATGTAACAGGTCGTTCAAAGTAATATAGCCAGCTGCCGCTGCACTGCGTGCCTGCGAAGCTGGTGTGTTACGCTGAAGGGCAGTTATACCGGCTATATCGTATATACAGAATACATATGAAAAACTCTGAGATAATGCCTTTTGTCAGTTTTATTTGTACATAAAAATGTTATTCAGAATCATTGCCATATGCTGACAGTCCTTTCTTAGCCAATTCTACCTGTCATATACACAACAATGGGGAGATGGTGTCATCTAGATTGCCATTTACCCTACTGCATTTTGCCTTGACGAATATTGACAAGGACATTTAGCGAAAAATGCACCATCCCAACTGCCATAGATTGTGCCAGTGTGAACTGAATAACTGTAATTTGGCACCTTCCCAGTGCCGCCATTATCCAAGGGATTTTCATCTGCTAGTTTAATCTGAAACATAATGTGACATGCCTTTGAAGAAAGTGAACATTCTATCCTATAACTTATGACCTGTCTCATCATCATAACTTTGATCATATGCATTTTCAAACTTCTCCCAACTTGGAGCAAACTTATGATTGCTACATGAAGTCAGAGGGACAAGGTTGAATGTGAGGTTACATGGATTGAACAGACTGTTTTCTTTAAAAGCATTTTCGGCAGCTAAAGTTGCGACGTTAGTACCTACAATAAGAAGTCAAAAGGGAAAAGGTTGAATGTGAGGTTATGTTGATTGAACAAACTGTTTTCTCTAAAAGCATATTTAGTAGATTTTAAAGGTTGTATCAAGGTGGATCCTTGTATAATATTATGCAATTCTACATTTTTGGCATCTAAAGTTGCAACGTTAGTACCTACAACAAGAAGTCAAAAGGGAAAAGGTTGAATGAGGTTATGTTGATTGAACAAACGTTTTTCTCTTAAAGAATATTTTAGTAGATTATAAAGGTTGCATCAAGGTGGATTCCTGTGTGCACAGTTCAACATTTTTAGCAGCTAAAGTTTCAATGTTAGTACCTACAACAAGAAGTCAAAAGGGAAAAGGTTGAATGAGGTTATGTTGATTGAACGAACTGTTTTCTCTAAAAGCACATCTAGTAGATTTTAAAGGTTGCCTTAAGTGGATTCCCGTGTACACAGTTCAACATTTTCGGCTGTCGGCAGTGAGCTAAAGTTGCAACATTAGTACCTACAAGGGAATTAGTGAGGTAAGCATTTGTGCCCCTCCCACCAGAAATGGCTCAAAAAAATATATTTTACTACCCTCGTGAGTTAAACCGCGCTCCAGTTCGGTGTACATGTGGTAGTTTATTTGTCTCGGGAGGTAAGACGAAGGCTAGATGTGGAGCGACTGTCTACGCTTCCCGTTCCCATGACGACATACAGTTTAGCAGAACCCATCAGTCATAGTTGACGCCTATTCAAGAGAGAAACACTTTGATCTATAGGATCCTGGTGTACGGTGCTGTAAGGCCGCACCAAGTCATTTTTATGGATAACGTCCGTGCGGGCATTGATTTGGGCCTGTTCCCAGAAAAAAAACAAGAAGAAAACCCGCTTCCTGTAACTATGACTAAAGAGTCACAAGAGTGCCGCAAATTGTATAAATTAAAGTAAAACCTGTAACGCAAAATATGAACACAAGAAACAGGACAGGACAACAACTGCTGTTCCACTGATTTATTGCTGTTTTCATAAGTTAAACGAATAAAAGAATTGTTGGTGGTTACTCTGTGCGCTTTCATTCAATTGTGTCCTAATAATAACATTTGTCGTCCCTTATAGTATATTTCAAATCTAGACATCTTGTTTTTTTGGCTCCTCTTGTTTTTTTGTTTTTTTGTACTCTCGCATTAGATTTAGTGTCTACAGAGGACGTCATCCACAAAAATGACTTGCTGTGGCCTAATATTGAATAATGACATGGTTTGTGTTTGTTTTGTTCAGGTCACAGAGAACTCACCCTGGTCCTGTGGTGTCACTCAGCGACAATCCAACCGACTCCAGTAAGGTGAGAAATAAAAGTGGAAGACTCCAGACCAGTGTTCTGTTGCCTGAGGGCCATCTGTTTTCGTGCCCGGTTTTTAGAGGTACAGTCAAACCTGTCCAAGCCGACCATCCAGGGGACCAAAGAAAAGTGACGACCTTGGACAGGTGGTCTCCTTGAAGAGGGTCACCTCACAACATGACTGAGACATAAATGGTTTCCAAGTGGAGATGTTTTAATGTCAAATGCTGTAAATGCATGTGGGGAGGGTGGCACATGGAAAAATTTACCTCAAACAAAAACATCATCCAGCAGTCAAGGAAAACTGGCTGGTTTCTCCATGATTTCTCATAAGTTATCATCAATAATCAACATGATCGAAAATGATGTGGTCACCATAGGCCATGAGCAGGTATCAGGCCTTGAGTGGACCCAACTCAGGGCGGTCTGTTGGCCAGGTGGTCATCTTGGACAGGTTGCTTATCTAAGCTTGTGTCAATGGGGACAATATTTGGGACCAAGAAAAAGCGGTCACCATGGACAGCTTGAAGAGGTGGTCACCTTGGCAGGTTTGACTGTAGCTAGTGCAAGGAGCCCCGTTACAAAACGGATGGTACCCATGCACTCAGGCTAAGTGTTCTAGCCAGCCTGATTTTTTACCGTGATCAAAATTTTGTTTGACGTAACATCATGTTGAGCATGAAAACACAACAATCCTCAAGGGAGTTAGTGGGCATGCTCCCTCAGGAAAAGTTTGAAATCTTGACCCTCTGAAATGATTAATTCTTGCATTTTGAGGGACAAATTTGCTATTAGACTATGCTTGATTTAATGACTTTGGATCTAACTTCTAGCCAGCCTTATTTTTTTTCGGCCATCTAGATTTTGTTTGACATAACATCATAATCAAGCATAAAGCATGACAATCTTCGGGGTTCCAGGGGTATGTTCCCCCAGGAAAATTTGGAAGTCTTGACCTTCTGAAATACTATTTTCTGCATTTTGATGGGGAAAATTTCCTGTTGGCCAAAGCTTAGTTTAATGACATGATCTCTTTCTGTATCTTTACACGCTGATTTTTGTCTGTCAAAGAAGACATATTGGGTAAAATTTAGATGACAGAAAAAATATAGACAATGTAATTTAAGAATCATGCACAGCAATAAATAAATCATAAATCAGACGCAAGACCAGACACTGAAATACTAATTAAATATTCTGGTCTTATTGTTCTTAGTTATCCTTCTATTAGTTTGACCTGATTTGCGAAAAATCTTCTAAATGAGAAGTAATTTTCCTCTTTGGTCTGTATAAACAGCGTGCAAAATACCTGGTTGCCCAGTTGCCCCGGGCAACCAAATTTTACTTTGGGCAACCTATTTTTGAACCAAGGTAGCCCAGTGTGCTACCTGTCCTGGATTTTAAGAATACCCCTTCCCCCGTACATCATGCCCACTTGGCTTCCACCACTGTAGCCGGCAGATGCTTTTTAATTTTAGGTATTAATGGCTATTACTAGTATCAGTTAAGTTTCTAAAGGCTGTTAGAATTTTTGTCAAAGGCGTAACAATTTACTTAATTTGAGGAAAGTAGTAACTTATAGGTGGGGCAACCTAAAATTCTGATGGACTACCTAATTTTTGCCGTAGGTACTGGGCAACCTGGTTTAAAAAAAGTATTTTGTACACTGATGTGCAATGTTTGATGGATGACTGTTTGTCTGTTTCAGCTGTTAATTGGTTTCGAGACAGGCATGATCGTGCAGTGGGACCTGAAGACCAAAACAGCCGAGTGTAGATATGCATGTGAGCAGGTAAGGGGGCCAAAAGTCACACAGGGTTAGACAATCATGATCATGATTGCATGGTACCGTAAATATGTTTGATTTCGTAGTGGTTTCATATTTTGCGGTAGGAAAAAGGTTTTGTTGTGTTTTAAATTGGTGGTTGAAACAAACCCGTAGCACAGTTAGAAACTACGATGTATAATTATACAATTAAAGTACTTGATTAATTTTACTAAATTACCTTTTCATGCTGTTTTATCTTGTTTATTTCTCTAAATGCAAAAGTTCTGTAAGTTTCATTTGAAAAGCTGTGTAACATGTGGTTAAAACTTGTGCAAAAGCCATGTAAACTACGTACACTACTAGTAATTAGCTGCAATTGCATGTGGCTACTGTATCTACATATGATTGTATCATGCATATTATCATAAAGCCAGAAGGCGTTGACCAATCAGAAGGCTCCATTTCCTATTGGTTATCAGGCTGTTACCTAAAAAGTGGTCAGTTATTAGAATAACCGACCACTTTTTCGACCGTACCATTATACAAGGAACATGGCACTAACACTAGTGTGAAGACTTGTAATATTTATCTATTAAAATGTATTGTAGTTATTTTGAATAATTTATTTGAAGAATACAACACAATGAAAAAGATATATTAAATGAAATTTAAACAGAAGATCTGTACTGTACCTTGATCTGTATCTAACTTCGAGTTGATGTTTTGTTCCCACAGCAGACATTACATTCCCTGGCCTGGCACCACGAAGGCAAGCAGTTTATGTGCAGTCACTCTGACGGCAGCCTGTCGGTGTGGAACTACAGGAGCCCCAGCAAGCCTGCGCAGGTGTTCCAGCCCCACGGGCACCCTGCACAGAAGGGCTCCAAACCTGAGGCGTGCAGGCCCATCATGAAGGTGGCCTGGCCGACACAGAGAACTGGGTAGGACTGAGTATGCTCTTAATTTACTGATAAACATAAAATAATAATATTATTATAATTTCAGTAACATATTATACCTGATACATTTGTACTTTCTTGGGATATCCATTTAGTAACTATAAGTAACTGCAAAAGTTGTCCTGGATTCCAAAACACAAGTTAACGTACACAAGAATAAAAAGGACAACATTACATTGCTAGTGCATGAATATATGTCTAGAATGACTTAACTTTTGATACATTGATTTGCTCTTACTTGAGCTACACTGGTTTCATCTACGCTGTTTTTGCACGGAAATACTTAATAATGAGTCCTGATTTGAAACTGTTATTTGTTTGTGAATGTTGTGTAGATCTGATGATAGATTGTTCTATCATGTGAAATTGCTTCTGTGTGAAGCATTATTTTCTTCTTTGCATTCGTTTTTGTTTTTTCCAGTGTAATAGTTCCATAGACAGTCTCTGTAAAAACATGATGGAACAAAAAATTATGGTAGTACTGTTAGTACTACTACTACACATAAACAAGACATAGTGCAATACTCAATAGGTACAATATGTTAGTTTGTAATTTCCCTGTCTTCAGCTTCATCTTGGTTAGCAAAGCAAAGCCAATAGAGAGAGAGTGAGAGCTTCCCTGTATCAACTAACTGTAAATCATTTTATGTTTGCGGTAGCAAAAGTTAACAGTCTGAGAAAAATGGACAAGTTGACTTATTTGTTCACCCGGGAATGTAAAAGTACTGAAAAAAATTGATTTACAGTAATGTTTAAAAGATTTTTAAAATGCAGTTTTGATGCCTGAACAGTCCGACACGCACAAGTTATTCTTCTCCTTACTTTTACCTAATGTGCCCCATGGGTTCAGTAATTCAAACAAGTGGTTGTGATAGGAGTTTTTAGCATATTGTATGTTCTAAGTCCCTTAAAAAAGGAACACTAATCTGGAAAGTAGAGAAAATGTATGCTATGCTAATATACAAGCATAGTAAAGAAGTTGGAAACTACATTGATCAGTGGCTATCCCTGTTTTCTGTCCTAAAATTCTCTTGATACCTTTTCAGTGTTGTTTCACAAACTTGTATCCAGACTAAGTAATGACTATTATAACATGATGATTGTGTATTTTTTTGTCTGCAGGGACCCGTTTATAGTGTTTTCGGATGGTCTGCCGTACGAGAGATCGGGTCGGCGTCCCTGTATCACTGTCATGCAGGGCAAGTCTGTGACTGTCCTGGAGATGGAGTATCCAGTCATTAACTTCCTACCTGTCAGCTCAACACCCTGGCCTAATGGTAACACCAATTTACTCTTAATTATAGTGACAAAGATTTAATTGAAATACAAAGTTCTGCTGCAGTTACTGCAACTACTAGAAAGACAAAGAATTTCTTCAACTGTTGGGGCCAAAATATGAGCATTTAAGGCCACACCAATTTAATTTCTTGTTTAACAGATTTTTCTAGAAAAATAACGGAGCGGACGGGAAAAAAAAAAAACAGGCCTAGGCATCCTATTATGGCCCAAAATGGTACGATAGGAGCCATGAAGTCAAAATTTAAACAATGAATTTTGAACTTTTAATGATACCACTGCATTGAAAGATGGAATAACTGTAACAACTAGGAAGAAAAGGGCTGTTTTCAACTGTTCAGGGCAAATTATGAGCATTTTGCAGTTACTGTATTGATTCTGATTTTTTTTTTTTTTTTGCAAATCAGAAGAAAATGAAGCGGGCAAATCTGTTAACCAAGAAATTAAATTGGTGTAGCCTTACTAGGACTTGTTTTAGCACTTGAATATTTTTTTCTATTTTGAAATCAGGAAAAAAAGTTGATATAACTGGGTTGGCCTTATGAAAACGTCATTTTATTTCTCAAAATGTGTAAACAAACATTTCAGAGGGTTTTGAAATCCAGATTTCAGATTGCCACTAGTCAAACCCCCCCAAAAACGCTAGGGTTCGCATTTTTTTTGCTAGGGTCAATCAAGAAACCAAAAACATAACATTTTTTCCTAGGCCTTATGAGAAGTAGAATTCTCTATTATATGTGTAAAGTTTTGTGTAGAGATATATAACAGTTAATTATAGAGTTTAAGCTTGTTCCAAAGGAAAGAACTCACCATAAATTTTGGTTGATCACGTCAACCTTCGTCAAATGTATGATGCAATCGCTGACTTTCCGGAAGTCGGAAGCGTGATGACGTCAGGAGCGCATCAAAGGTGGCACTCCTGACACCAACACAGATGAGCTTTCATTCAAATATATAACAATTGTTTTTGTTTTTCTGTTTGTTGTTCTGCAGACTTCCAGGATCCCTACGCCATCATAGTGCTGCTGGAAAATGACCTTGTAGTAATAGATCTAACCACACCAGGGTAAGCCCCTCCCATTGTTTGGAAGGATCCCTGTCGGAACATTATGAATTATAAATGTTGTTGTGTCGAGAATGGAGAATGTTTCAAGGCTCATTTCTGCACTGAGTGTCAGGTTGTACATGTTAATGAATGTACAGTAGCGTGTGCATAGTCTAGTGGTTTGTGACGTACCTTGTCTCTGGACTAAGACCCCATTCAGACCAGACTTACATTTAGCGGTTTCAATCGTTTTTTCAAAAAACGATTTTTATTTAACCCAGTGTGAACCGTTTTTTTAGGGGTTAGGGGTGCAGTCATGGCTTAATGGCTAATTAACCAAATATTCGCCAGATAGGGTTTTTGAAAAATCAGTTTTGTAAGTCTGGTGTGAACGCTAGGGCTTTTAGCCAGGTTTTCCCCCGCTAATTATTTAGCGGTTTCAACCGGTTTTTAAAAGTCTGGTCTGAACGGGGAATAAAGAGGTTAGGAGTTCCCTAAGGAAGGTGACAAATGGTCACCGAAACGTCGTCCAAATAAAACACTTGGTTGTGTAAAAAGAGTCTCTTTACTCAGAAAATCTATCCAGTGAATGAGTAACTGATTACCTTGATGTCTAACCTCCATCGACATTTCTTTGCTGAACTTATTATCATTTGTGGCTTTGGGAAAATGACAGCACTGAGAGGGTATTTGACTGGACCCGGCGGTTCTGACTTTATTTGGATTTCTCAAGGCCACTCCTCCTTTTATTCACGAGTTTCCCATCCCCACAATGCATTGTGAAAACGGGTCTAAACCTCATTTGCATAGGACAGGAAGGCATTGGAGTTGACATTAGGTGTCGGGGCATTTTATGCTCAACATTAATTAAATTGCTATGGCTTGAATCAGACAACAAATAGAGAATGAATTTTTTGGAATATGTGGTTTGTAACGTTATAGTGGTAACGCTATACTGATGCTGTAACATTACAAACCACATGTTCCATTTTAAAAAGAACACAAAAACTTCATTCTCTATTTGTTGTCAGATTCGACCCATAGTAATGTTGAGCATAAAATTCCCCAACACCTCAAAACACAGTGAAAAGCAAGCTGTTAACGTCAACAGGATCATTCCGATGCCTTCCAGTCCTATGCAAATGAGGTTTAGACCCCTGCATTCTGGGGATGGGAAACTCGAGAATACTTTTTCTGCCAGTGCAGGGCTCTCTAACTCAATTTTAAGATATTACTAAACTTTTTGAACGTAATCTCCCGTAGGTACCCCTGCTTCCAGAACCCCTACCCCATGGACCTGCATGAGTCCCCCGTCACATGCTGCACGTATTACGCCGACTGTCCGCCCGAGATGATCCCAGCCTTCTACACCGTGGGCTCCAGACAACAGAAGAAAACTGGCTTCAGTGATAAGGTAACACACAAGAAACAGTCATGCCTTCAAATATCAGAGTTATCAACCAAGAATTGAGGTGTTCAAAAACTCGTATTTCCCCAGAACTATCATAGACTGGAACTCGTTGCCACCAAGCACAGTTGGGGCATCATCACTAGAAAGCTTTAAACAACTCCTGCAAGTAAATGTGCAAAGATTGAGTGTAACAAGTCATTCAGTGTGATACATTGTATAGCTAGCTGCCGTCGTGCGTGCCTGCGAAGCTGGACAGGTGTGTTACGCCGAAGATACAGATACAGAACACCCTAAGGAGGCATCATCATCATCATCCACTGTATACTGCGTCTACAGTCATGTGGAAATGTCCTGTAGCCACATTTAGTCTCTCTTCATCCCTTTCCTCCGTGCCTTCTGCCTCGCGAGCTCTCTAAGCTCCTTGAGTTTCTTTTCTGTTGCGGGAGACCCTAGCTATAGCCCTCTACGCTTCAGGTCTCCCTTCAACATGCTGAGTAGGTTGATACAGTGTCTCCCCCTGCGAGCTTTATATCTCTAAGAGATTAATATATGAAGGAAAATTCCAGGGCTTTTTGTGCAGGTGTGTCTTGTGGCATTCTGAGAATATGTCCGAACAAAGACCACTTGAGTTTCTCAACTTTTACGGAGAGAGGTGTTATATTGCAGACCTGCGCACCATCACAGGTCTTCAATGGCCAAGAAGCAGGGTGACCAACAAAATCTGCAATACAACACCTCTTTCTGTAAGGAGGCATGCCCCTGTTTATTTTGGATCTCAATTTGATTCTGCACACCCTCAAGATCTAGCGACCAGCTCTTCCACATAATAACAAATAATTATTGAATGAAGTGAAAACACTGTACTGTGCTATAGGAATGGAGGGGTGTACAGAAAGTGTACAGAAATGAAACGAAATGGAATGAAAAAAGCACCCTTCAAAAAGCAACCATCTCTTTCATGAAATAATAATGAAGTGAAAACACTGTATGTATGGGACTCTGAAACGGTGTACAGAAAGTGCAAAATGAAATGAAAAAGAACAAAATAGCACGAAACAAAATAAAAAAACACAAAGTAACAGAAAGAAATGAAATAGCAAAATATAAGGAGCAGACCTGTGTGAAGTGAGTGGTGAATAAATAATATGACAATCATGTTTTATTTCTTGAACCTGTTCAATACTATTAGGCGATGTTGATTTGATGATTATGGATGACATCCTCTGGGAACTCCACAAACTGATGCGAGCGTGCGAATAAAAAAAGTTTGGCAAACTGTTGACCTCAAAACCTGACATGGCCTGGTAGTGCCCAAGGGGCCGCCCAAGAGTGGGCATGGGAAGACCAAGTCTTTTACAAACTTCAGGAGCTGGGGTCACCTGAACTGGCTTTAGGGTCCACGTAGAGAACAGATCAACCTGACAGACCCTGTGCAAATCTGCTGCTGCCATGCATCAATTACTGATGCTTGTGGGCAATTGATTAAACGGAATTTGCAAAAAAAAAGTTGCCTACATGATTATAAACGTAATATCTAACAAATAACAAATCACACATTAAACTAAACAACTAAATTCTCATTTCTTCACATTTTCTTCTTTTCATTTGGAATACATTTTGGCAACATTAGTATCGCTTTCCAATATTCTTTTTGCAATATTATTTACGACATATGTTTCCTTATATGTTTCCAAAGTAGCTGCTTTGTATGATTTACAGTATGGTCGAAAACTTTTGTTGGAAATGGTTGAAAATTCATGTGTGTGCAGATGTCATTCATATAATCAACTCAACATGGCTTAAGGAGGTATGGCACCTTCTCCTTCATAATGTTAACTGACAAATAAGAGCCGGCAGCTGTGATTTATGTAACACCGGCCATATTCCCACGGGGAACCGGTTCTTTCCCAGAAACACCCTCAGATCAATACCACCAACACGGTACCGGTTGTACCTTAGGCTACACCAATTTAATTTCTTGGTTAATGGATTTGCCCACTTCATTTTTTTCTGATTTGCACAAAAAAAAAAAAAAATTCAGAATCAACTGCAAAATGCTCATATTTTGCCCTGAACAGTTGAAAACAGTCCTTTTCTTCCTAGTTGTTACAGTTATTCCATCTTTCAATGCAGTGGTATCATTAGAAGTTTGAATTGCTTCATTGTTTAAATTTTGAACCAGCCTGGTGTGTTGACTTCATGGCTCCTATCATACCATTTTTGGCCATAATAGGATGCCTAGGCCTGTTTTTATTCTTTATTTTTTCACCCGCCCGCTCCATTATTTTTCTAGGAAAATTTGTTAACCAACAAATTAAATTGGTGTGGCCTTAGTGCCAGAGATGAATGTTATTTGTCAGGACTGGTGATGACTCCAGGTTGTCACCTGAGGGGACACTTACACCCCAGAATGTTGTTAACATAGAACTCTCTCAGTAAACCAGTGTCTCCAATCGTAGTCAATTACTTTAGTCCTGATGCACTGTACATCAAGTGAAGTTCTTTGTTGTCAACAGACATCGGTCAGTCAGATTTGCCAACAATGCCCATTCATTGGTAGGACTAAGGGTTCTAAATTCTTGATCTCAAAACAATACTCCTACTTACTACTATTAACTGAGTATGATTTTTACCCTTTTTCAGCTGAGGTACACTGTTGTGCCTGTTTCTGGTACTGAATTGTGTACACTAACACTATTGTACCTGTTTCTGATACTGAATGTTGCACGCACTTAAACTGTAACTATTATTCTTTTGCAGAATTGGCCTGTGAAAGGAGGGGAGTGGGGCACCTCCACATGTAGCTATCCTGAGATTATCATAACAGGGTAAGCATAGTACTCAGTTTGAACCAGGTTTGCTTTATATGAAGTTTATATCTCAATACGAGTGATTGCCACAATGTCACGGCCAGCAAGAGGTAGGCAAAAAGCGTGTGATGGTCAGCTGATTTTCCTACAAATATTTCGCATATGTAGTACTATATTAAAACAAGGCCAAAGGGCAGTTATACTGGCTATACCAATACAGATACAGAATTTGCATTTATATGAATGTAAATAAAAACAGCAATTGCTCCTATTGAATCTGTTGGCTCTTTTGAATCTTGTGATTTTCTACTTAAAAATTAAGATTTTTTTTTTCATTTAACCCTACACCATATGTTTTTGGTCACATTCATTGATCAGAAAAAGTGATCATATTGTTAACCTGAAAGAAAGCTTTACCACAGGGTGATGTAGAATACATACTGTAGTTCTGTAGAACTTACTAGAAATCATTGAACATTCATGAAGTGTCAAAGTTTTCTGGTTGCTACCATTTAATCAGTCATGACATAACAAAACAGACAATTACCAGTCAAATTTGTCCTGCAGGCGTTATGAAGTATATATATGGAAAGATAAAACTTTGTATGCTGCAAGATGTTTTACATGATTTTTAGTGCATTAGTGATGTTGTCTTTCATAGATAAGTGGAAATTAAACTAAAGGAGATTTGATTCACTTGATCAGAAAGTCTTCATCAGCTATCTGACACATGTAGACACATGATTATGATTTTTTTTTTCCTCACATGTGATGTCAGCACTGGGTCAAAGTTCCTCTGAAGAACAGTTGGGAGAACATTTCAATTTTTCACCATGTAAACTACGAAGTTGAACTCAGATGAACTTTCATACTGACCTTGCCTTTGAATTTTTGTCCTGCACAGTCATGCAGACGGGTCGCTGAAGTTCTGGGATGCCTCTGCAGGTAGGATGGTTTCCTTTTTTTATTAGAGACTTTCCAAGAATTAAAGAGAGATCATGTTGCATTGAGGGGTTGCAGTCATTTCCGACGATGATGTAAAGCCGGCGGCCTTGTAATGTAATATAAGTAGTACATTGGTTTATTATTGTTGCTTCACAACAAACATTTACAGTCTCGCAGTGTAAGTAGTAACTCGCACTGAATTGAACTGGTAAACATTAATATAACAGGTAGTGACATAATAACATATTTAAAATACAGGTAGAGATATCACGATTAAAATCACTCGTTACATATAGTCGTGCCAATTATTCATATAAAAGTAATGACAATATCATATTTAAAATAGAGGTGGAAATATCACATATTAAAATCACTATATTACAAATAGTAGCAGCACAAGGATCTATAAACTAAACCAAAGTCAGGTAACAATTGTGTGACTAGTAGTTAATCAAGCGCGTCATGTATGGGACAGCACTGTTTCTATATCTCTCCGTTCTACAGCGCTGGAGTTCTAAATTATTAGAAAAACTAGTTTGACGGCTAGTAATAGTCTGTCTGTGAGGTGGCAAAAGGTGACGGTAGTGACCAGATGTTAGCAGGGATCTGGCAAACTTAAGAGTCAGTTCCTCACGCCGCTCGTGGAGAGTAGATAGACCGAGCTGTGAGCAGGCTTCAGCATAGTTGGAGTAGTCGGGTCCCAGGATAATATGCACAGTTCGACGCCGGATCCTCTCAATTCTGTCAGACTGAGACGTTGTAAGGCCAGAGTGCCATACCGGAGTTGCATATTGTACTTGAAAAATCATCATGCTTTACCTCATCAGTTGTGGATGACTGCTTTACCTTTAACTTAAAATATTGACTTCTTTTCTTTCATGCTACCCAGTAACACTACAGCTGCTGTACAAGCTGAGAACCAGCAAGATCTTTGAGAAGCAGCCTCTGAACCAGAGTACGGAATATGAGGAAGATCCCTTTGCAATAGTGAAGATCGCGATGTGCTGTGAGAGCAGAATACTGTGTGTGGCAGGCACGTCAGGGCACGTCATCGTCTATAGGTACAACAAAGTGGAGACCACAGTGGACGTACCAGTAAGTTTCTCTTGTTAAGTCCATCTTTTTGTTTGTTATGCTTACCTTTGGTTTTTTTTTAAACTTCATTTTTTTCTCTTCTTTTTCCTCTCCAAACAAAATTATGATAATGTCAATGACCTGGACCAGATGTCTGTCACCATGGTAACTGGTGCTGTAGCAGACATCTTGTGGTGTTGGATTACATTAGGTAGCAAGTTGGAGTGGTTGTTCATATGTGTTAGACTGTGATTGTTATAGTAAGAATGAAGAGAGCAGTAGTTTGTTAGACCAGACTATGTGAAGGTAAAAGCATTCCATGGGATAGGGTTGATTCAACTTACTACATATACATGTACATTAAAAGATGTATTGACTAAAAAATTGACTTCAAAAATTCATTTTTACTGCCCTAAAATCACTTTGGCTACCTTTAGTCAGTGGCTTACCCTTCCAATAATTCCATAACCTCAATATTTTTCTTTTCTTCTAGACCCTTGAGATAGCCCTGGTGTATGAGGTGGATGACTTGGACTCTCCCGACACAGACCAGATCCCCCCTCCCATGCCACCCCCCTCCAGCAGTGTGGGATCTGCCGGGTCAGGGGGCATGCCCCAGCCCCTCCCCCCACCACAGCACATCGTCAGAAGGAGCTGAGAAAGTGGGATCCCCCCTGCTGAAGGTCTGTATTCTTCATTTTTATTGCCTTCGTCAGAAGGCTATGTTTTCGGTTTGGGCTTAGTGGAGCAGCTTTGTCTGTATGTAAGTCAACATCATACAAAAAGTTGTGGATGGATCGTTTTGATATTTAGTAGGTGAGTACATGTAGCTGTTGTAAAATCAAAGGTAAAGGTCAAAAATGGTCCACCTGCCTTTTTCCAACAGTACTGCAGTGGGCTTTTTATGCCTTAGTTGATTGTACGTGCTCAGCATAANTTTTTTTTTATTCGCACGCGCGCATCAGTTTTGGGGTTCCCAGAGGATGTCATCAATATAATCAAATCAACATGGCCTAACTTGAAAAGTTGTGAGTGGATTTCAATGATATTTGGAAGGTGAGTAGAAGTTATGGAAACAAAGCTCAATTTCAAAAATGGTTATCCTGTCATGTTCGGACTTCCTACGTTGCTGCAGAGGGTTGTGTTTTTTTTTGTGTGTTTTTGGTTGTGTACAACATAACTCGAGAAACTATGGATGGTTGTAATGATATCTAGACGGTTAGGGACAGCAAAAATGAAGGTCAGCTTTGATGACCTGCCTCCTAGCGGGTATGTGAGGTACTGCAGCTGAGTTTTAAAGTTTGAGGTAATTTTTCAGAAGTGTTAGGTTAATGATTTTTTTAAGTAGTCAAAAGCTGTTGGGACTGGGAGTACGTGGTTTAACTAGCAGCTTGTTTGGAACTGTAACTGTACTGTGCTATGCAATAAGTAATAGAAACTGAGGCCATACCAATTTAATTTGTTGGTTCTCGGATTCACCTCTTCATTTTTTTTCTGATTTGAAAAAAAAAATTCTGGTTCTGAATCAACTCAAATATGCTCATATTTTGCCCCCAACAGTTGTAGAAAGTCCTTTCTTCCTACATTGTAGTTGTTAATGTTTTTCCTATCAATATAGTGGTTTGATTAAAATTCAAAATTCATTGTTTGAATATCAACCCAGCCTCTCTGTTGACTTCCTGGCTCCTATCGCAGCATTTGGGGCTATAATAGACCTTTCTTTTTTTCACCCTGTCGCTTCACAGTTTTTCTGAAAAAATCTGAGAACCAACAAATTAAATTGGTGTGGCCTGAAGAATGGGGAGCATAAATAGATTGTGTATATAGTTTGTACAGTCAAACCTGCCTATAGTGGTCACTCAAGGGACTGGCCAAATTTGACCACTATGGCCAGGTGACCACTATAGAGAAACAGCCGGTTAGTTGACCCCCCCCCCAAAAAAAAGGGACACATGCTTTGAGTACCAACAGTGATGTCTTTATTCTGAAACATATGAATACATACATTTGCAAAGGTAAACCCCTTTTATATGTACATGTGTTAGTTCAATAATTTGTTGTTCTTTTGCTTTAGTTGTACTTTATTTTGTACTTGCTTGAAAAAAAAAGAAATACAGAAATATTGCATGGAAACATTAACTTGACATCAAAGATACATACACTCAACATATTCAGTACTGTTAATCTATTCTGGGACAATGAAACCATTCACATAATTTAAAACATACAAAATCACTGGTTGTCATTTACTGTTCTTGTGTACATACTAGTACTACATGTGGCTAAAGAAAAGAAAGCAAATCAAGCAACAAACTTTCAACTCCAAACAAATTTCTATCGACTGCAAAATCATTTAATCTAAGCTCAGCTTTCGACGATTTCTTCTCACTCTCTCTGCCAGTCGAATCACTTCCACCTTTTGGAATAAGTTTGGCGTCCGTCTTTCCGCTTTCGCCATCGTTTCTCCGCAATCGCCACGTTACTAGTACATGTAACGTTAGTTGTTGTTGTTAGTCGAAAAGTGGAAGAGAACGACATCGCCATGTTTTTGTTCTTTGGTGAACACTTGCTTCGCGCGACCGACATACGCCACAGCGAATTCCAACCACGTAAATAAGTTATTTTGTACCAAGATGCTGTCTATTTAGTTAACAGCAAAATAATTGTTCGTCAGTTGCCAGTTACTTTCCGTTTTTGGTCGTTTTTGAACATGAAAACTTAGCGAAAACTCTCCTTTGTTTACGGCTTGGGTTTCTCCCCGCGTGGGTTGTCTGCCTCTACCATTATGCCAATGTGGTAGTCAACAGAACATTTTCTCCTTTCAGACTTATATCTTTTCTAAAATATCCACTACAGTGTTAAATTTACATCTAACATTAATTGTAGTAATGTATTTCAAATGTTTTCATAATGTAATTACGTCATTTGACGCTAATGAAGTTAAATAAAACTCGGTGTATCTACCTCCATAACAGTGGAGTCTTCCGATGACCCCAATTGACCTCCCTCTGCAGCCAACATGCGCCATCTTGGAAAAATACGAAACGCATTTTCGAGCCAAATTTCTTTAATTATGCCCATGAAAAACGGAAGCTATGCACATATCTACGCATTTCAAGGAATCGAGAAACCAAATATGGATATTCTTAAGTTTTTTTGTAAAAGATAATTTGCCGTAATCTTCGCCGAGCGGCCGAGTCCATTTGAAAGCTCCATGCGGCACGCACGGCACTGGTGTTGGGGAAAACGCAGATATCAAAGACACCCGCGACCGCAGAAACTTCGTGTCAAAAGTCAGTTTTCCTTTATTTCATACACATATGGAGTCTAATTTTCAGTTCACATTTTAGTAATGTAGCGATCGGAAAATTATCACAAGGCTCATAACGGTCGTAGCCCGAGGTGGGGTGGTGTTACGGCCGTGGTGCTTAGTGGGTTACGGTCAGCCGCGACCGCTATCGGCGGTGTTGACATGCCGGCGGGACCGGAATGGGGTGACCGCTGACCGCGTTGAACAGTGACCGCTATAGACACGATTCTTAATGCTTACGTCAATGGGAAAAATTCAAGGGACCGGCAAAAACTGACCGCTATGGCCGAGTGACCACTATACAAAGGTGACCGCTAGTACAGGTTTGACTGTACATGTATGTGTACAACAGAAAATAATCAAAAGTCAACTAGCCTGCATTCATGGCCCAGGACTCCACTGTCTACATGTGGAATAACCAACAAAAACAAACATCACAGCTTTTAAAGATTTGCTTGATTATGGCTGACCACAAAGTAAGGAAAATTCCCCCTACATTTGTATATGTCTAAACTAAAATGGGAGACTGCCAAGGACACCTCACCTCAACTCACCTTTCCCTTTGTCTGCCATGTAGACTACTGCAAATTTAAAATTCTATTACAACAATATGAAAGAGACCACATCAGTCACGTAGTCCCATCCCCACTGATAACAGCCACGGCTATTTCACCATTGTTGAAACTGTGCCAAGGGTCGTTGAGATGAGTCAGTAAAGTACGCGGACCTGCGAGTCTGTGAAGTATCGAGATTAAAGGATCAGTGCTCCACTATGTCTTTTCATACAGCCCTGTCCACAGTGGCTCACAATGAAGCTCACTAAGGCTACAGCAAGTAATATTTATGGATGACATCAATTTAATTTTCACCTGATTTTGAAAAAGAAAATATTCTTGCCTTCTGACAGTGGTTAACATGCCAAAAATGGAAAAATGGGCAAAGGTGTCTGTTGCCATGCTGGAACGTGAATGGCAGATAATTATAGAGGAGACTGATTTAATATTTTGTCTTTTACTTTGATCCAGTAATGTACAAATGTATTTCATTCCTTTTATTTGTTACGATGGCAGTGTATAATATTATGTGATGCTCTCACTGAATCAAAACAATTTGTACAAATCACAATGATTAAAAAATTATGTTACAAAGTTGTTTCAGTGAGAAATGGATGTTGTAATAGTTAGTAGTAAACTTAGCACAATATGGGTATCATTTCTTGTTTAACATGGTTTATGATCATGTCAAAATTTGATCATGTAGAATCTTCTTTTTTTTGGCTCGCCTTGCTTTTTTTTGTCCTATCGCATTAGATTTGGAGCCTGCGGAGGATGTCATCCAAATAATTTACTTGCTGTGGCCTAATGTCTTGTCACAACATCACAGGACTTTACTCATGAATGTGAATCTGATTATGTTTTGTGGGGAGTTTTACACGGTGAAGGTTCTTACTAGAATTTTCTTTTCACAGTGTAGGGGTCGGGTACAACTTTGCTGGGCATCCATTGTTTTGCTTTTAACATTCAAAGGCTAATTGTTCTTACTCAGGAATATCAATAAGTTAAATTGTTACTCTTTTGTTTCTTTTTTTGCACTTTGGCGCATTTGAGACTGCGATCACGATGCTTCGTCTTGCATGCATGTCTTGGCAAGCTAAGTTTGCCGGTTCAAATCCCGAAACCGATATATCAGTAATAATCAAGTCAAAGATAAAGTACATGGTAACACAGTTTCTTCCTTGGTTGTTTCCCTGTCCTTGGTGCTGAAAGGACATTACTGTTACAAACATAACCTGTTATGGCATAAGACTTTATAAAACCAACAAAGAAACGGATATTTCAGTAATAATCAAGTCAAAAATAAAGTAACACAGTCACATCCTTGGTTGTTTCCCTGTCCTTGGTACTGAAGGGACATCACTGTTTACAAACATAACCTGTTATGGCACAAGAGTTTATAAAACCAGCAAAGAAACGAATATATCAGTAATAATCAAGCCAAAAATAAAGTAACACAGTCACATCCTTGGTTGTTTCCCTGTCCTTGGTGCTGAAAGGACATCACTGTTACAAACATATCCTATTATGGCACAAGAGTTTGTAAAACAAATAAAGAAACGATTATATTCAGTAATAATCAAGTCAAAAATAAAGTATCACAGTCACATCCTTGGTTGTTTCCCTGTCCTTGGTGCTGAAAGGACATTACTGTTACAACCATAACCTGTTATGGCATAAGAGTTTTCTAAAACCAACAAAGAAACGAATATATCAGTAATAATCAAGTCAAAAAAGTAACACAGCCACATCCTTGGTTGTTTCCCTGTCCTTGGTGCTGAAAGGACATCACTGTTACAAACATAACCTGTTATGGTATAAGAGTATATAAAACCAACAGAGAAACCGATATATCAGTAATAATCAAGTCAAAAATAAAGTAACACAGTCACATCCTTGGTTGTTTCCCTGTCCTTGGTGCTGAAAGGACATCACTGTTACATATATAACCTGTTTTGGCATAATACTTTATAAAACCAACAAAGAAACGAATATATATTCAGTAATAATCAAGTCAAAAATAAAGTAACACAGTCCCATCCTTGGCTTTTTCCCTGTCCTTGGTGCTGAAAGGACATTACTGTTACAGACATATAGGGCTACATCAATTTAATTTGTTGGTTCTCCGATTTTTTCAGAAAAAATATGAAGCAACAGGGCAAAAAAAAATATAAATAAAAACAGGTCTAGGCATCCTATTATAGCCCCAAATGGTACTCTAACAATAGGGGCCATGAAGTCAACACAAAAGGCTGGGTTAATATTTAAACAATGAATTTTTGAACTTTTAATCAAACCAATGCATACATAGATGGAAAAACTGTAACAAGTAGGAAGAAAAGGACATTTCTCAACTGTTGGGGGCAAAATATGAGCATATCTGAGACAGAATCTTTTTTTTTGCAAATAAGAAAAAATGAAGAGGCAAATCCGAAAACCAGCAAATTAAATTGGTGTGGCCTAACTGTTGGAATTAAAAATTCTTAAAAAGAACTGTCTTGAGTCTGATAAAGATTGATAAAGTGTCAACATACTTCTACATGTCAATGCCTCATACTCCTATATTCCCAAGTTTGTAGTCCGTGTACATGTATGTTCAAAACTGCGTTTCAAATTAATGGCATTTCCAGAAGGGGAAAACAAGGGGATTACTCACATGTAATCTTAATGCAAAATGCATCTATCCATTGGCCAAAAGTGAAGTTTAAAATCAATTCTTGCTTCCCAAAATAGAAGCAAGTATAACCACAGTTCCCCTCCTGGCTACCTATCATGTTTGTAATTTAATATGATTGATTTCAGGGGACCACAGAGGCTTATATCCTCCCTATAGAAGCTCCTGTCCATTGTATTGAAACATCTTTCTTTCTTTCTTATCCCACCAAGAGAGAACACTGTATATAATCTTAGGAAGAACAGCAATCAGTTTAAGCTCCCATTAAGCCGATTGGACAGACACAAAAACTCCTTCATTGTGAGAGCCGTAAAAGACTTGTGATGTGTATTGGACATGTATATATATATATATATTGTATTTTAAACTGAAATTGTTACTATTTTAACCTACGTGTTCCTATGATGTTGATTTTTAAATGATGATCTATGATGATGTTTTTAATCTATTGTCACAGTGATGATGTTTGTATGTTGTACAATTGTAAAATGTCAATACAATTCAGACGTGCCCAAAGCACTTCGGCACGTCTGCTATGTTGATATTCAATAAAGATTTGATTTGATTAGGCCACACCAATTTAATTTGTTGGTTCTCAGATTTTTTCAGAAAAAAAAATGAAGCGACAGGGCAAAAAGAATTTAAAAAAAACAGTGTGATGTATTGAGAGAATTGTTCTGGAAAGTGTTATCCTTCTGTACTCTAGTTCTAGTGTTAGAATAAAGTTTAGCGTCATACTATGATTATTACCTAAACAGATAAATTTCCATGATAATTTGCCTGTATGTGTGTTGTCTGTATGGTCTAGGAAAAAAAATTGTGTTTTCAGAATCTGTTTCATTAGGGAAAATAATAAGGGTTGGTAGGTAGGGATTATCTTCTTTTTCTAGCTCTTTTTAGACTTTGGAGATCTCTAGTGATCCAACCTATACAATACAGTTTAACAAAGTAAAACTTGTATTAGGACACTTATATTTTCAATGTCTATGTTGGAAAACCGATTGTACAATGTTACATCACTCTGGTGTACAAGATCTTGGAGCTAGAAAAGATCGATCAGCTCAAAAAAATGTTTGTCCCTTGCAGGGGTTGGCATTTTTTTGTAGGGTTAGTCAGGAAACAGGAAAAATGTTGTTTTTTTTCCTAGGCCTAAGTACTGTATACAAGTAGTACAGTGAAACAAACCTGTCCAAGCCGGCCATCCAGGGGACCAAAGAAAAGTGGCCACCTTGGACAGGTGGTCTCCTTGAAGAGGGTCGCCTCACAACATGACTGAGACATAAATGGTTTCCATGTCAAAATGTTTTAATGTCAAATGCTGTAAGCATTTTCAGTTCTGTGGTGAATGCATGTGGGGAGGGGGGCACATGGAACAATTTATGTCGTCAGACAAAAACATCATCCAGCAGTCGAGGCAACCTGGCTGGTTTCTCCATGATTTCTCATTAGTTATCATCAATAATCAACACGATCAAAAATGATGTAGTCACCATGGACAGGTATCGGGCCTTGAGCGGACCCAACTCAGAGCGGTCGCGTTGGCCAGGTGGTCATCTTGGACAGGTTCCTTAATGCTTGCGTCAGTGGGGAAAATTTTTGGGACCGAGAAAAAGCGGTCACCATGGACAGGTGGCCTGGTCACCTTGGCAGGTTTGACTGTATGTTTTGAATAAACCATTCAATAATGTACATACCTTGTTGTGCCCAGGTGAAGTCCGGCCCTCAGAAGATGGTTCCAGGTTACCAGGTGGACCTGTGCGCCCAGCTAGTGACCGTCGAGGGCGAACCCCCCTCCCAGATTCTCTGTCTGGCCATCAACTCCTTATATGGACTGTAAGTGCAGAAGCAATCATGATGATATAGCAAAGGTGTTCTTCAGTTGGATACTATTAGATGCAGGGCTCGAAATTCATTTTTGGGAACAGGTTCACTGTTGCACCCAACCTAAAAAATTGGGCACCAAAAAAAATATTTTGAGTACACCATATAAGATCAAATATTAGTAGAATGACAGCAAAAACTAATGTTAACTTTCATTTCTAAAGAAATTAAAAGTACTATTATGATGATAACAGTAATGTTATTATTTTTCTGACAGGTAAACCTACGAAAAGTTTTTGGTGCACCACCCACTATTTCGAGCCCTGTAGATATACTGTATATGAAGTTAGGGCCGTGTACCAGATTGTTTGTTTGTTCAAGAATTTCCAATTAGTAACAATAGTTCAATACAACCACTACTCTTCCTGGAGTCCTCTTACATTATTACATTACTACACACAGTACTGTGTCAATATCAATTTACAGTTCCCTTGTGGCCCCATGTGACACAGAGGTGACCAAAGTGACCTTTAGAGCAGGAAGCATATCGCTAACTAATACGCAACAGATCTTTCAAGGACAGCTAGAGTTGTAGGATGATAGAAACAATCTACATGGTTCTGTTTTGTTTAAATAAGACATAAGGCCACATAGTTTTAACCTGTTTTATTCAAATAAAGATTACAGGTACATGTACATGTACAGGTACAGGTACAGGTCACTGGAAAACTTAGTCTCGTTTCATTTCATAGGCTGGTTCTACTACTTATTGGCGGGGTGCTACCAAAAATAAAATAACTTCTCACATAGCTTGTTTTGGGCCTATGTCAAACACTTAAAGTATGAAGTGATGACAAAAATATAAGAAATGGCAGTAAATGTCAATATCTGACAGATTTCCTCATCCAGAATATTTTCTGTTTTGCTGCCCTGACATTAGATGCCTTTAAAGGCATCCCATGTAATTTGAGGGTGGCAAAACTGGAATATTCTGAATAAGGTAATCTGTATGTTATATTGACACATACTGACCCACATTAGCACATGTGCATCAGTACATTATATTTTATACTTTGCGCATTTAACACAGTGAAGAAACGAACCCTAAGATGAGTCCTTTATTTTCTGGTTGGTACCACAAAATTAGCTCAGGATCCTACCAATAACTGCTTTTACATGATTGTTTGTCACAATTTTCGGCCTTTTTGCACCATGAATGTCAGTATACATTGTTGTTTCAACTTAGTATGTAGATAAGTGACTAGAGAATTGATTTTGAAAGAAAGCTGTTTTTTAAAACTGCATTGGACACCTTTAAAAAAGCTAAACACTGAACCCACTTTGTTCCAGGATGGCGTTTGGAAACATGCAGGGTCTGGCCATCGTGGACATCATACAGAAGACGACCCTGCTGAACCTGGGCACCCCTGACCTGTACGGCTCTGCCGACCCTTACACGCGGACACAGCCACGGTCCCCGCAGAGAAAGAAGCCGCCTGCCGGTCTCGGAGACCTCGGGGAAGCACAGGCTGTGGAGCAGGTACCAGATAAAGTGTTTCTTCTTCTTCGTTACCGCCCAGCCCTACAGTGTAGGATTATTGGCAGCCGTTACGCATTGTTAGTAACAATTGTGACCCGGTAAAAAAACAAAGGGAAAAAAGGATAACTGAGAAGGGAACATAAAACAACTGATTTTGTGTGTGCTAAAGACGGGACAAGTGCGTTAGTAATATTTACATCATGGGGTGGCTCAATGCAGGAGGGTCCTCGCCAGTTCAGATTTGAACTGGGCGAGAGACCCCGCCTCCTCCGCACCAGGCTCAAGTTCGTTCCATTCCCTGATGGTGCGGGGGAAGAACGAGAGCCTGTAGAAGTTGTTTCTGCTCGCGATGGCCTGCAACAGTTACCCTTCTATTTGACTTGAATAAAAGGCTAACTGTTGAAGGGTAACTGTTGAAATGGCTGGAATATAGAGAATAGACCCATTCGACTTTCACGGATTGCATAAACTGCTTACGTCACGGGGGACATTTCGAAAGAACGTCGTTTTAGAATGCTGAAGTCGAACGTGGCTTGCTCTTGCGGTGTCCCCCCTGGCAAATCATTTTTTTTAAATAAAAGGTAGGTAAGTGTCTATTTTTTCGGTAATACATGCGGAAATGACATGAAAACAGGCACCAACTTTGTATAGTGGCATTCCGTACAACAATTTAAGGTTATTTTGTTCTGTGATGTATGCAGTTTATGCGATCTGTGAAAGGAACTTTCGAAATGTCCCCCCTGTGACGTAGTTTCTATTCGAAACGTCCCACCAGTGACGTAAGCAGTTTATGCGATCCGTGAAAGTCGAATGGGTCCATTTTCAAGGTGCATAAAAAAGCACAAGACAATGCTGTGACTATACAAAATAATACGTTTGTATACATCATAAACATGAATCTTTCCACAGCTCACTTAATATCCTTCTTCTGATCAGTATCTCTTCCCAAACTCCAAGTTGAAATTATAGTCAGGCATAGAATATTTGACCTCCCCAAGTATTTCTTGTCACTGAAACGTGAACTCATGGTTCGTTTGTAGTTTTGCTTCCTTGTCATGAAGACCCCCTTTTTGTCCATAGTATCTACCCCCTGTTGTGCCCCTGAGTAGGATTGGAAGTTTTTCCCTATTCCCAAGGACATTCTATCACCTTGCTATTCCTTATACTGTCTGTGTCTCCAATCCTGAAGTTCTTGGTATGTCAAGAAGTCTTACATTCTGTGTACCTTACCTTAGACAAGTCCAATTAGTGCACACAGTCATACATGTGTAGATAAAACTTTGTGATTTTTGGCTATCTTGTTCTTTTGCTGATTGAATCAGAGCCTTCGTATTCTGTGCTTTGTTTACACCGAGCTGTGTTGGCGAGAATCTGAGTCTCTGAATTCTGTGGTATGTAACTGTGGTGCCTCCACAGCTCCAATCTCCGCAGAGGAGGAAGCCTTTGAAGGCTCTAAGCAAGCTGGGGGAGTCAGAAATAGGGGAGCAGGTGGGACGTCGTAACTTCTGCTAACTGTTGTCGTCCGCCTGTGGGTGTTTGACTGTGTTTCGCATCAGTGTTTGCCAAACTTTGTATTCAACTTACAGTATTATTGTGATATAAGGACATGAATTTTACATTTGATTGTGTGCTGTGAAGTCTTCAGTGTCAGGATGTCTATGTATGGTCTTGAAGCTTAATGCCAAAGCTTGCTGTTTCCTGTGCCAATTTTTCAGTAGTGCTTGTTGGTTGTTTCTCTGTCCTTGGTGCTGAAAGTTTGGGAAACTGGAAACATATTTTTATAGGCAATAGCAAAATAGAACTGGAGCTTACTTCTAACTTTGAACTGAGAGCCTATAGTCCGTGGTACCAACAGATTTTAAAGAATGTTTTGACCAGGTGAGTTGAGAGTAAACCCTCTCTGTTCTACCACAGGAGCGCTGCCGCTCTCCGACAACCGAGAGAGACGAGTCCAACGGGGTGTGCCTGAGCCCGACGGGAACCACACGGAAGAAGCTCGCCGACATCAAGAGAAATCGCAACCAGCCTCGGCCCAGGATGTCCAAAGCCCACTCCACAGCCTCCATGGAGGGTAACGGGGGGGATGGTAAGTCTCCTATCGGTTCTCAGGCATCCGAAAATAATTTCAGCAGGTTGGTAGGACGTAGGATATTTGGATTTTCTTCTTACGCAACCGGTGATGTTTCTCACCTGCTTACGTTTCAATGACCATCAGACATCTTCCTCAGAGCTTTTGACTGGAGTTCTGATTCTCGCCTCTATTTGTAGCCGATGAAGGTGGCGCTTTTGAAGCGAGAACACAATCCCAAATGTAGGTAAGTTTGTACTCTGGTCCCAGTTCATCACTGGGGTGCTCCGAGGAAGATGTCTGACAGGCATCGAAACGTAACCAGGTGAGAAACATTACCGGTTGTGTGAGAAGAAAATCACTAAATACAGTCTTCAGGCATCTTTGACAGTTTGCCTGTCATCTTTGAGAGAGCACGTCATAATTTAATAAGTGCTGTGTTCCAGTTTGCTGGACCAGTTCCGGACTTCTAAAAAGTCTTGGTTAAAAAAAACAGAACGTCTCACAAAATGAATTATCATGTCCCATTCCCCTTTTCATTCTAAACCATCTAAAACCTTCCATAGATAGCAAAGTTTGCACTGCGAAGTAAAGAGAATATTGCCATTGGGCACCGTCAAGTGTCCAACTCCGTAAAAGTGGCCACAGTATCGCTCAGACATGCTCGCGCAAACAACGTATCTTGCTTCTAAACCCTGATAGTACAGTGCTGTCTGATGTCTTCAGGCCATGTTCAATCATTGTAACAGAACTTGTCGTATCAGTTGGTGAAAACACCAGTCTGGCCAACTCAATAGGCTTTGCTGCAACAAAGTTTCAGGTATACATGATGATACATGTGTAGCCTTAAGGCTAGACTTTCCCACCCTTGTTCAAGACTTAGGAGCTTTTTAGAATCAAAGGTGTCTGGAGTGGTCATCTGAAATTCATATTGCGCTATGATTGACTTATGTAGGCATTACTGAAGGTTGTTTTTGGATTACAGTTCTGAAGTAACATTAATTTGTTGTACAGCCAGCCTGAATTTTTTTGCTTGATCACAATTCTGTTTGACATAATTATCATGCTAAGGTTTCCTCACTGGTTAATTTGGCATTTTAACTTTCCATCATTTTGTCACAAAGAAATTTAGAAAGAACTGTAGTTGTACTGAATATAGATACCTGGGTACAAAAGGGTTATGAAATATCATTTATGGACCATATGGATGACGTCATCATATTTTATTGCCCCAAATATAATTATCTTTAAAGTTATAATACAGCACTTTGGTACAAATAACTGCAATAAAAGTATGATTTTCATGTGCATAATGGTCAAAGCTACAAATTTATGTTTGCACAAATCGATATCTACTAATTACCCGTAGTTATTAGAGAATAACGTAATAGCCTAATTAAAAGCTAGTTATTCTCTAATAACTACATGTACAGGTACCAAAACCATGGGATATTACGCAACAATCCTAGGGGCGTCCGGTTGCAACAAATTTTTTTGAAAACTTGAACATCTGGAATGCTATTTTCTGAATTTTGAAGTGTAAATTTTGCTGGTAGACTAAGCTTAGTACAATCTCTTTCAATATCTTAACATGACAATTTTTGTCCGTCAAAGAAGATGGAATCAGCAAAATTTTTGTATAAAATGCCGTCAAATGACTGAAAGACTGATGGGGGTTAGAGTGGTGTGGTGGAGTTTTGCTGAAAACGTTGCTGTCTGGAACTGATATCGTGCCCTGCTTGGACAGTAGCCAACATGCACAGCAGAAATCCCAACATTCCTGGCTTTTTCAAAGCATCATTTGCAGCTTCCTGGTGGGATTGTAAAAGGTCACATAAATGCACCCAACAGAGAAAGTTAGAATGTTAAATGAATTATTCTAAAACCAATTTAGCCCCCTGCTACCTTTTATAATTTGACCTGTAGATACTATTTAACTTAAAGTGGATAATATGAATATTTTGTGAGCTTTATGCTCTATATAATATGATCTTATACTGATAGCCATCAAAAGTTATGGTAAGCAAGTACCTAAACATGAATGTACTAGACTAAGTAATAAACAAACTTTTTACAAGTTTCTACAATGTAAATTGACTACAGCATTTGACATCCCCAGCCAGCATGTTATTATCATAATTATAGCCAGATTACGTTGACCAATCAGAAGTCCCCATTTCGTATTGGTTATGATGCCAGTGGTGATTAAATCTCATAAACACCAGGACCAATCAGCATCGAACAATGTGACACTGGTGACGGGAACGAATTGCGATTCTGGTACGACCAGATATGATGATGAAAATGATGTCCTTGTTCGCTGCACTCACTCTGTGGTTCAATTTGGTGGTTATAGGAAATGACCAGGCCTTACACCATATTTTTTTTAACACAGTGGTTCAATGCAAGGCCTATACGACCACTTCTCGGCATTGAACTAGAAATATGACAGAAACATGGCTATGTCAAGAGATGGCGGTGAACGTTGCCTGTAGATTTTAGGTTGGTGGGAAACACTTGTCAGGGAGGGAATTCCAAAGCTTGGCCGTACGGGGAAAGAAACTGTCACTGTAAAAAGATTTCGAACAAGGACTTTGGACGGTGAAGTTGTGTGAGCTAGTGGAGAACCTAGTGGAACGCTTAAAAGTTGAGTGAGTTCTGCAGAGCAATGACCATGAAAATATCTGGAAAAGAGGGATAGAGAGGCAACATTACGTCTATGGGAAAGGGGGTCTAACATGGAGGCCAGAGGATAGTCTATGGCCACACAAATAGTACACCTGTGGCAGGTCATTAACCCTTAAATAAGTGATTGGTATCTTTCACATTCATAAAATTATGTGTCTCGGTGCAAACTGTGTGTTTGTCTTAGAACAACAAAACTTTGTTACAATCGTCCAAAGTTGACTCCCTATAGCTAGGATCAGTGGAACAATATTAGCAACTGAAATAGACATCCAGGTAATGAGATTCATAATTATTCATAGTTTTGGGATAAGTACCTGTTCAACTACAGATTCCGTTAGTCACTGACAAAAAAGTACTGGATGCTACTGGAAAATGCCTGACAGTTTACAAATCTATCCGTTGCTTGAGTTAGTAACAGTTTTCTTGATTCCAGTGAGAAAATGAAGATGGATTGTGTGAGTGAGTGTATCACACCCTGACATCTGGAGTAGTCTGTAAATATTGAGCGTTAGAGCGGTGAGATAGACAACAGCAGGGTTAGACAGGCAGCTTTAGTTAGGATAAGGGTTCAGGGAGCCACTGATCTATACATACATCACTGCTAGTGTGGATCTTCTGGGTCATTTGTAAAGTACTGTAAATTACAATTTTTTCGCCATTCTTTTAAATTCGTGTTTTTTTGCGGTGACTACTATATCGCAAACTTATCATTACCTTGAACTTGAGCTTATCATTACCGACTTTTCTTTTGCTGCACCTCCCACCCCCGCGAATGAAAAGTTCCGTGAAAATGTCCATTTTTCTCAGACCGCAAGCATAAAGTGATTAACAGTAAGTGAAAATTCCCATGATTCCTTGCACTTGTCAAGATGGCTGCTGAATTTTTCCAAAAGATACATGTATTGAAGCTCCGGGAGAACTTTGCTTTGCTTTTATGTCATCTTTTTTTTAGCAACTTTTTTGGTGGAAATTTGAAAGGAGGTGGAATATTTAGGTGTTGGCTGTCACGGGGGATTTTTCAAAGAGGATTTAACTTGCCTTTAAGCCTTGTGACCTAAGTCTATCCAAATTCATCAGGTTCGCAGGCACATGCCCCATTTCTTCCTTGTGCACCCACTACAGTAACTGTAAAAATCTTACTCAATCATAAGAATGTGGTATTTACAAGTACATGTATCTTGTTGCATGTCTAGAGAAAAACAAAGACTGAACTTCAATTTTGCATGTAGCTTTTGTAAATTGCATGTAAATTTTCTGCCAACATGTTATTTTGCATGTAATCGAAAAAAACCCAGGCTACCGAAGCTCCATGACTCAAGAACTCAGTACATACATGTGTACGTACAGTGCCGATTCATAAATGCTGCAAAAAGCCAGCATGTGCCTGCTTGTCATATACGTCGCTATGTACTGGCGCAAATTCAAAATACCAGCTTTGTATGCCTGTGGTTAAGTTGTAGCTTTTATTTGGTAGGAATTTTTTTTTATTCGCCCACGCGCACTTGTTTGGGGGTCTTCAGAGGATGTCATCCATAGAATTGAGTCGGTGTGGCCTCAGAGTCATCTTAGGCCGTAACAAAGCTCACCATGCGTGAAGTACACCATACCAATGTTAGCGTATGTGTGGAGGTCTCTTATTTCCATACCCACTGTGACGGGGGATGCTAATCGTTAGAATGCAGAGGGCCACATTTGTTGGCAATGTGACTTTTCCATTGAATGTCACCAAGGACATTTGAGCATACATATTTATACGCATGTGAACAATGTACAATCTGTGTATCAACTACAGTATGTATGTGTGGGTTGATGCAGGTAAAATTTATCATTTTCTATTATCTGCCTACACAGAATACAATGACAAAATCAGCAAACCACACAAGTCACATACATACATTTTGTAGTCACATACAATCATTAAATACTGGAAACAAAAATTTTTTTAGTTCTGACTGTTACTATGCTTTTATCAAGCAGCATAAATAATTACAAGATTCAAAATCTGTGTTGCTAGTTAGAAGTTTAAAGTTAAAACTTTTGTTCCAACACAAGGGATTGTTCTTACATGTACCTAAGAGCTTTTGACCAGTCACTCTGGTCTTCTTCAATAGACTGACCCAGTGAGGCTTGTTTGTTCAAGATTCAAGTCATTGATTTTCAAGATTCAAAATCATGTTACCTAGAATTGAAAATATCTTCAAACCACAGTGACTGTTTCTTGGACTAAAGAATGATGTCACAGAAACAAGTACCACAAATCACTTAATGTTTGCGGTAGCAAAAGTTCATGGTCTGAGAAAGATGGAGATGTTCATGGAACTATATGTTCA